AAAATTAAAATTATCATATTAATAATTTTATTAATATTTTTAGTGATGTATATCAAACTAAAATTTAAACTAAATGTTAAATATAATTTTAAAAAATAATATATATATATATATATATTAAAATAAAAAAAAGAATAATTAAAATACTAAACTTGTAATTTATCTAATTTTTAACTGTTCTTATTAGGGATGACAAAAAAACTCAAACTCGATGGGAAAAACCGAAAACCGAATTAAACGGGGACGAGGAAAATCATTTATGCTAAACGGGGACGGGGACGGATTTAGTAATCCACGCCCTGATTACCCGGCCCAATAAATATTAAAAATAATTATATATATATATATATATATATAATAAATTTAAATTAAATTAAAAAATATATAATATTTATATATTAAATTTAAATATATATACCCGGCTCGATACTCGTTTAAATAACCGTTTATGCTAAATAGGGATACTCGTTTCCCTGCGGTTTTTCCCGATTATCCGATGGGGATCCCCGTTTAAATCCCCGTGATTTTTTAAACGGAGACGGGTACGTGTTTTTTAAACAGAGACGGAGACGAAAAGACCAATACCCGGCCCGAACCCGACCCGTTGTCATTCCTAGTTCTTATACCAGTGTGGAAATTAAATTTATAAAATAAAACAGGGCCGGAGGCCGTTTGGATCCGAATGACCCTCTGTTCCTGAATCATGTGCTTTCATTTAAACATCAGATTTTTAATTATGTTTATTCTCTCTATATTAAAAAAAAATATATAAAAGATCACGATATTATTAGTCTAATTTAACATCTAAAATATATTTTAAAACTTAGAAAATATAATTTAAACTAAATGGCCACAAAAAACCCTTTTTAAAAAATAATTTTTTTATCAAAATAAACCCTTTTTCCGCCACCACAAAAATACTAAATTAATCCAAAACCATTTCTGATAAATGACTGCTTAAAATATTCACTGTCATGTTTCCATTGAGTTACACTTGTGCATCTGAGATCCCCAAAGGGCAAAGCAGAAAGCTACATCTTTTGTCTAATTATCATCTTTCGGAGCTAATGGGAAACGGGCTAGGGCAGAATGGCTTTGGAAGCTAGTGAGACAGACGGCTCTAGCAAAGCCGTAAAGCCGTAAAGCCGGATCACCGGCGACGGTTGGTGAATGACCGGAGTTTCCCGGTAACTAACACTAACCTTAAATTAAGTTTTCTTTTAGGTCTAATTATCTGCCCATTCCCTGTAATCTTCGAATATTTAAAACTAATCCTTATACTTACCCGACGACTTAAACATCGAAGTCCAATCGACACATTGTTAATGGATTTATGTTAATTGACATCATGTTTCAAATTCATTCTTTTCCATTAAAAAAATTAATGGTTGTCTAAGTTAGACGTTAACATGATGACTAAGATATAATAGTCATTTGAGATTCTGATATAAAATTTTATCATGTCATAATCAGCAGTTTAATGTGTAACTCAAAATATTGTCATTTTTTAGCGGAAATAGACGGGTTTAGAATATGATGAATAGTTATGTGACCATTTTGTAATTTTTAACAGTAAAGTGGCTCAACAAAGTAACACTTTATAATTAAAAGATTATTTTATTACTTTTAATAATCGAATGACTTAATAAAATATTATCCTATAGTCGAAAAACCATTTGTGCACTTTACCCGCCCATTTAATTATTGAAATGTAATATCTTTTTGTTTAATGGAATTTTTGGAACATAATCTTATTTTCTTTAAAAAAATTGTTTTTAATTTTTTTTTTTTAAAATAAAACTAATTTTTTAGAAATAAAAATAGTAAATATTTTCAAAAATCAAATAGACGCAAAAATATACCAAATAATAATAAGAAAATGTATTTTCAACCCACTAACTCCTACCCATTTCCCAAAGATTAAATCACAATCAGACAATCCCCTGACATCCAACGGCTACAGTTATGGCTTCCCAAACTTCGATATCAGCCGTGAGATCCTACTTTTACTTTCACCAGATTCCTACCCATCTCAACCCCCCCCCCCCCTTTTCTCTATAAATAGCAGCCTCGGAGAATGAAATCGTTGTGCCGTTGAGTTCCGCTTCTCTAGAGGTCTGGTATACTCAACACTCTCTCCTTCCTTTTGCAACCATAGACTTAGATCAGCTCGGATTTCTTTGTCTAGGTTGCCATTTCTACTCTTTTTATTTCTTTAATCTTCCGTTTCTGTTCGGAGATTTCGCTTTTCTGTTTGGCTGAAATGCTTGCAGATCTGTTCTGTTTCATGGTTGTTTTCGAGTTTTTAGGCTTAGCACACTCGACTTTGAAATGTTTTTGAAGATCTGAGATCTAAATATGAACCATATAATGAAATTTTAAAACATAAATATTCATTTTGTTTTGGAGTTACGCTTTGAGTTGAACATAAAGTTGGTATTGACGGTTGTCGATCATTGATGATGTCTTAAATTTCGGTTTGAATTTAGCTTTGAAAAGCATTTCGATTTTGAGTAGGATCTACCGGTTCTCTGTCTTTAGCTTTCAAAATGACTATAGAATTAAGAAACCTCTATGTTGGGAATTGGGATCTTGTGAAGAACAGGGGATAGGGGGAAAGGAGGAATTTGTTGACTTGCTTCAGACAATTTGAAATAAATTGCAATAGGATCCAGGAATATATGATTCCTAAATTATAGATTATGAACTTATGCTGTTGTGACGTAAAAGGAATCTGTTTAATTCTTTACTTTTTTGTTCACATCCTCCTAAGAACATAATCTTCCAGGCAAATTTGAAGTAATTGTGCCTAATCTTGATTCTCCTGGAGTTGAACTTCTCTTGAAAAGCATGAACAATTTGTATCGTTGCTAATATTCTTTTATTCTAAAGTATTTTCTCATCTGCCTATTCTATTTGTTAACCTCACTAATTAGAAATCAAGATTCCATCTATTAAGTTACTTCTTAGAAATTGTTCTAAGATTCGCCTGGTATTCTTGCAATGTGCAGACTTAGAATGGAGACCTTTCTATTCACATCGGAGTCCGTAAACGAGGGTCACCCCGACAAGCTTTGTGACCAGATATCTGATGCTGTTCTGGATGCCTGCCTTGCCCAGGACCCTGACAGCAAGGTTGCCTGCGAAACATGCAGCAAGACCAACATGGTCATGGTCTTCGGAGAGATCACCACTAAAGCCAACGTAAACTATGAGAAGATTGTCCGTGATACATGCCGCTCCATTGGATTCATTTCTGATGATGTCGGTCTTGATGCTGACAACTGCAAGGTCTTGGTCAACATCGAGCAGCAGAGCCCTGATATCGCCCAGGGTGTCCATGGCCACTTCACAAAGCGCCCTGAGGATATTGGAGCTGGTGACCAGGGCCATATGTTTGGTTATGCCACTGATGAAACCCCTGAACTCATGCCTCTTAGCCATGTCCTTGCCACTAAGCTTGGTGCACGTCTTACTGAAGTTAGGAAGAATGACACCTGCCCCTGGCTAAGGCCTGATGGTAAAACCCAGGTTACTGTTGAGTACTTCAATGAAAATGGTGCCATGGTTCCAATTCGTGTTCACACCGTCCTCGTCTCCACCCAGCATGATGAGACTGTGACAAATGATGAAATTGCTGCTGACCTCAAAGAGCATGTTATCAAGCCAGTTATCCCTGAGAAGTACCTTGATGAGAAGACAATCTTCCACCTTAACCCATCAGGCCGCTTTGTCATCGGCGGTCCTCACGGTGACGCAGGTCTTACTGGACGGAAGATCATTATTGACACTTACGGTGGCTGGGGAGCCCATGGTGGTGGTGCTTTCTCCGGAAAGGACCCAACCAAGGTGGACAGGAGTGGTGCTTACATTGTTAGGCAGGCTGCCAAGAGCATCGTAGCAAATGGGCTTGCCCGCAGGTGCCTCGTCCAAGTCTCCTATGCTATTGGTGTTCCCGAGCCCTTGTCCGTATTCGTCGACAGTTACGGAACTGGAAAGATTCCTGACAAGGAAATTCTTCAAATCGTGAAGGAGAACTTCGACTTTAGGCCTGGTATGATCACCATCAACCTGGACCTCAAGAGGGGTGGAAACAACCGGTTCTTGAAGACAGCTGCTTATGGACACTTTGGAAGGGACGACCCAGACTTCACCTGGGAAACCGTGAAGCCCCTCAAGTGGGAAAAGCCCCAAGCTTAAGTTAAGCTTTGTCTGTCTCTGCTGCTCAGTGCTTTGCTTATCCATAGTGCTGAGTAATATACGTTTCCTTGCGCCTACCGTATACTCTATGTCCAATCCCCAGAATGCTTCTAGTCTCATACATATAATGCCCTATTCATTTTCTTTTTCTTTTGCTTATTTTGGATTTTAAGTGTCATGTATCAGTGTCCGTGTTGCAAAACAATTATGAGAATTTTGCTATATATATTGACGGCACTAGAATTAGCAAAGCTCTACCCTCCATGATTGCAATATGGTTGCTGCTAAGAGAAAGCATTTTGGGTCCTCTTGACCCTCACCTGCCCACTCTTCTGGTATTCAGTTTAACGGCTCCATTTGGTTAATTGCATTAAATTTGTGCATGTTAACCTTTGTGTTTTTTAAAATTTACGAAACCTAGATGCTATCATTATTTAGGTCAGGTTTGTGTATTTCGTGCAGCCCCGGGTATTAAGAGGGCCTAGATCCCTCCTTATATATTCACCTTAGATTTTGATGCATTGAAATAGGTTTTCAATGTGGGTCTCTAGGCTCATAACCCTGGTTACATTTGTCTTGTGATTCACTTCATATAACATATTTATAACAAGTATTAGTTAAATAAATATAAATCAAATTTTATATAAAAAAAGGGTTTATAGGTTTATTTTTTTTATCTGGGGGGATCTTTCTAAATAACAACAAACTGAAATTTAGACAAATGAATTTAAAGCCAAAGCAAGATGCAGTACCAACCCCTACAGTAACAGTAACCAGGAATTGAAATTTCACTTGCCAATAGGAGAATGAAAATACACACGGGTACATTATTTTTCCCCACTTGAAACCGACTTTTGTCTCTCAACTACAACCGAAACAGAGGACACAACAACATCACCTTTGATAGACATGTCTTTCTCAGCATATATCGTGCTTTCCGTTCATCACATCGGATAGTTACAGCTCCCAACGGCTGCCATCAACAACCGAAAATTTAAAACCCCAGAGAGCTCTCAAGCATCAAACACACATCAATTAGACACGATGTGGGAAAAACAACTTACATGGATCCTGTGAAACGGTGATGCCAGTGCCATTGAAATGGCAGTTCCAAGTGTTCTTCCCCGCAGCCTTGTAGAAGAGATTCATGGCGTAAGAAGCGTGGGAGACGATCGTTTTCGGGCGGTAGCAGATACCACCGGGTTGGATCGGCCTGCAATCCACTCCGCTCTGTGAGCAGCTGTAATTAATATTGATATTGAGCCTGGCGTTCTCTGTTGATGGCTTGGCGATGCACCATGTGTTCCCACCACTCCTTGCCTAGAAAACAACTCATAAAGCCTGTTAAACTTGGGGTCTATTTGGCTTGGAACTCCATTAAAAATGTTCTAAGACCCTCTAGCCTGTTGTGCTTACTCCTTGGGACTTACCTTCTGGTTCTGGTTTCTCCCATTACCACGTCTTCTTGTATCTGCATGCACCAGCACAACCCCATTTCAGAGTGTAAAAGGAGATTAGTGAAACAAACCAAGTAACTTTGGTGGTAGCGTTCAATGTAAAATGATTGAGAGTTATCTTTGAACACATATTAATTACCTTACACTTATTCAGATTAATTAATAAAAAAAAGGAGAAACGCACCTGCACGAGCAGCAAAACAAAGGAGTGAAGACAAGGCAAGATGAAGAAATGCCAAGGCCAAGAGTTTTTCTGCAGACTTCATTTTTTTGTTTGGTGTTGAAAGAGCTTAGGGTTGGTTACTGGTTAGTGCATGAATATCCCCAAACGTACATAATATGTAGAGAGTGAAGTGTGAGTGAATTTACAGTGAGGTAAAAATGTAAAATTTTCAATCATGCTCTTTTAACTAGGAAGATATTTAGGTTAATCAGGTTAACCTAACCCTGCTTTGAAAATTAAACATTTTTAAAAAAAAGGCTGTTAGCAGTAGCATCATCTTCTACATGTGATACCTGTAGAGTACTCTAGCTAACAGAATTCATGTGAATTATGTTGAGGTTTCACTATTTCCTTGCTAAAACACCATGAATATCCTGTGGTAACTCTGATGTACAATAAACAAAATGCAATGGTGTCTCGGTTAATTACAAAGAATACCCCTTTTCTCCTTTTTCTCTCCCTCAATCTCTCTCCACGCCGTATATTATCTTCTTTAGTTCACCGGAACCACCAACTGCGACTCTTTGTTCACGCTAAAATTTGGTATCACATGTGGTGTAGCTAAACTAAACTATCAAAGGAGAACAAAGCCTAAATGCTAAAATTCCCAGCATAACGTGACACGGAGCACTTCTCAATGTGTACATACATACATCGATCCTCTATATTTTTAACTTTTAGTGTAACATGATGAACTGACACGGAGCACTTCTCAATGTCATAAGAACCAGAGACCTCTTACTAAAATGCAGAAAACTATGCAAACGGGACACGTTTAGTCAATCAACAGCGGCATTGTCACTGACATTTTAACTAACAGTTAAATGGCTTTTAATTGTTTTAGTGTAAATTACGAGTGTTTAGTATCTAAATTATTAATTTTTATCTATTTTAATATTTAACTTTTATTTTTTTTAATTTAATGTTAAGTTTTTAATATGATACTAAAATGAAACAAAAATTAAATATTAGATATAATTTTTTAAAAAATAAAAATTTAAATATTAAAACATATCAAAATTAATAATTTAGATACTAAATGTGTAATTTACCTATTACTTTGTTACAATGAAAATGCCAATAGCTTTCAAGAAATAAAAACGAATTAGAAAATAACAAACCTCGCTGCCATACTGTGTTCACGTGAAATCTCTCTCTGGCAACTGGTGGGTCATTCCTCACGAATTTGTCTGCCATGAAGAGACTAGAATCTTTGACCGGACAATGCCGGTCTTTTTTGGGGACTATGGCCTTCGGCTTCATCTCATAGACTCACTATATTATGGGTTTGAATACTAACAGTTGCTAACATTATGACGTTTATCGTCAAATAATTAAAAAATATTTACAATAAATACTATTTTATAAGCACCTGAATAACTTAATAAAAAGAAAACCTCATTGGTCTTCCCATTTTATTGAATGTCCAAATTCTTTTCTATAGGTACATAGATCCCAACTATCGAGACGGCGGTTACATCGACTATATTCCGACTATCATTATCGAAGACGAGAAATATATGTGGGCTGCAACAACACATTATTATAAATGGTTACAATGCTACATCTCCCGCTATCAGTATCAAAGACAAGAACCTCATACCCAAGAAGGGGGGGGGGGAGAACTATGCATGAGTTTATCATGTTACATTCCCTGATAAACATTACACCGATGATAATAGAACAAATAATTATGTATGTCAACAATCTCCGAAACTCAGTCGTAATACTGATGTCGATACACCAGATTCTCGCTTGGTAGTATTAAACAGATTAAAAAATACAAACCCTTATTAATAGTTGCCGACGTAGGGCGAGCTGCTGGACCTCAGCTTGCTCCGTATTCCAACAATTCCCACCTGAAGGGACGGAAAACGTACAGAACTTCGGGACAGCTCTTAAATAGTAGAGCAACACAGACGCATACTGCTGCGACTGCTACCATGGAGAGCATTGCAGGCCTGTACACTAATGACCTGTTGGCTATTCCATATCCATGTGCCAGCTTTTGATCGCAAAGATTGCATTGTCGCTTCATGGATCTCAGTTCAAGCTTCCCAATCTCAAAGCTGGAGGTTGACTCGTTATTTTGCTTTTGGTTCGTGCTACAGTCGGAGATGGCACTTGGGATATCAACAACCACATGCCCAGAAGTTGGTCTCTTATTCATTTTCTTCTGTACCAGGCGGACGTAAGAGTAGTGGCCACGCAAGCGAGCATAATCTTCAGGTGTAGAGCCGGTGCTGTCTCGAGCACTCTTCCAAGCATCAATGCCAACCTAAATGGAAAATATACAGTTGTTTTTCAAAAGAAATTCAACACCCAAAAAGAGAAAAGAATATAACAGTATTCAGATTTAACACTTTTAGTCTTAACTTCTAGTGCACATAACTCAGAATATGATAAAACAAAAATCATGAGAACAGCAAGAACTCTATAATTCTCTTCCAGGTATGCTTAGAAATAAATAATAACGGAGTACCTTTCCAGGATCATCGATCAAAGCGTCAAGCAAATCCTCAGAACCATCTTTACCCGCTGCAATGTGAAGAGGAGTCAAACCTCCAGGGCCTATGGCATCAGGTCTAAACAAGAAGCTTTCTTGAACACCATCAGCTACCGTTTCATTTTCAAATACTAATCGATCTGAAGCCTTCTCAGGAACAAATCTTAAAAGAAGCTCCACTAGAGATCTACAATTCTTCCTAACAGCTCTATGAAGAAGACCCATCTCCGTTAGTGCCAGGTTGAGGGAAGGATGCTCCCCTGAACTGACTGTTCCATCAAGAAGAATATTTAAGAGCTTTTTCACTACAGCACACCATTCATGGTCCATAGAGAACTCCATAAGCCACTTGAAGCGCCTTAGAGGAAAGAGTTCGGGGTTAGGATCCAAGTGGCCCAATCTAGACTTCAATTGATTTCTATGAAGAAGCCAACCAACTTCATGAATGAAATCCATGGCTTGATTTTTGGCTTCCATTTTTCCAGTTCTGCCAATATCTGCATCGGCGTCGGTGATCTCCAATACATTCTCAAGCATTCGAATCTCGGAACAAACATCATCCTCGGCAACTATGAAAGGGAAGAAGCTACTATTAAGACCATGGTCTTCAATCTGGAGAAGTTGAAGGAGATGTCAGGTGCCCACTTCAGTTAAGGAAAGGCTTATTAAAAGTAAATTATATAATATGCATCTTAATCACATGCATGTAAGGGAAGAAAAGAAACAAAGATATTACAGTAGAATTTATTTATTTCCAACTCATCTAAAATTAGATGAGTTGAACAATTTATTACAAATAGTAATCATCCTGGGAACATCCTCTTCCCTCCCTTGTCCCCAAAATAAGATGGAGTTCCATGTAAGGAATTACAACAATAGACCTTATCTACAATACATATTGTAATCTCTAACCCCCCATTGGAGAAACTTTACTAAAATTCGCATATAACTGGTGTCAAAGATATCAGCAAGGAAGGGAGGACGACAAGATCGACTATAAAAAGAAAAGGCTACCTCAATGAATCCTCTTCCAATCACATTAGGGATAGAGCAAGAAAAGGTAACACACTCAAGATCATCTTGGTCCTTGAAATCATCGTTGTCATCCATCAAGTCATTAGTAGCTTCCTGTATCAGATACTTCCCTTCTACTGCACAGAGCAACCTGGGAAAGGAAATCCAAGAATGTAAAAGGCTCTGAAGCAACCGTACAATGCCAGTAGGCCCAGTACAAAACAAACAATGCAGTAAACTAGATTTAATTGTAAATACACTCCTGATCAAATAAAGCCATTGAGTATGACAAGAGAAACACAGACTGCACGAAAAGAGTAAAGAGTACCTTGTGGCTGACCGAGACAGATTGATACCTTTAACCGAAAATTGAGCTCTCTCAGTTGCAGATATTGCAATTGGTTTGACACTCACGATTTTACTATAATGATTGCTTTTGAGAGGTAAATATGTATCTACGATGACCTGACCTGCAACACAAAAATAAGTTGGTTCATATTCAATCCTGCATGCAAAAGTTCTTTTGCTTGTTTGTCTGGTCATACCAATTAAATAAATATCGATGAAGAAAAAATAAAGACCAAACCAACCATTATGAATAAATGCTATTTGATCAAACACCCTTATACAAATCCATCCAGTCCTCCAGAAAGTGTCATCTGAATAATGCAGAAGGCGACTCAAACTGAGGCTTAGATCACAGCAAAGCTGACAAAAGATTTAGAGGAATAAAATTATGAAGAAATTAATAGAATTGAAGCAAAGATAAAAATCCCTAGTTTCAAGAAAACAAAGCTTACTTCATCCCATGCAGCCTCAGTTTGACGAAGGTAAATTGTCAGAACAATGCAGCCAGGCCTTATATAGCTCTCAATGTCAGTGGGACTATGTGATAGCCAATCAAGAATCTGAAGTTCAAACAATTTACATAAGCATATTTTCTGAGGAAGCAAACCCCAAAGTACAGTTACATTCAAATACTTAAAAAGTACCTGTGCTCGCAAGACAATAGGAAAATCATTTGGTTCCTTCCCAAATAATTTAAACACAATCCTGTCTGTACGACTCTGTTGCGGTCAAAGTCAAAAAGAAATCATCAGAAGCTAAAGTTTAATAACATAGTTAATGACAGTGTATATATATATTAATAGACAGTGGTGGATCATAAAAAGAAACATATTACTTTACGTAGATGAAATTGCTTGTCATGACATAAGATAAACTCCCTGCCTATGTTATATTTATCCTACACTTTCTAGAACTCTTGAAGGAACCAGTCAAGATTAGCATAATCGTGCTTTTCTGTGCATGGTTCCTAGATGAGGTTATAACCTGACTTATTCCTCAATGAGGTCGTAACCTGACTTATAATCATGCAAAACTTGTGTCACAATTTGAACTTTCTTCACATGTTCAACCCACCTAACAAATATCCTATACCTCTTAGAAAAATGTTCATGGAATTTTAATCAAGAAACGTCATGCAATCATGCAAACCATGCAACATAGACATACCTGAGCATCACCGGTGGAACTAGAAGGTGATTGTGCAGATGCTGAATCTGAATTCCTACTGGTCTGGGGTGGACTTGATTGATGAGAGTCCTGTTGGACCCATGAAGGGTAATCAAGGGAGCTAGTCCCTGCAGTCACAGGTGCAAGTGACCTCTCTATGCCATCTGCGCCATCATCTGAGTCGATGTATATGTCATTCAAATCAAAATTATTTATCTTGACTGCTCCAGCTGTGTTGCCTGGCACTTCGGCACCTTTAGTACCACAAGACTGTATTCCATTATGCGGGATTTCTGATTCAGGTCCAGTTATCTGGTGCTTAAAAGGCCAAGGAGGGCATTGGCCATTCGAAAATAAAGCCGAAACAGCTTCCAAATCATGAAGTTCTGGCAAAAGCCCAGATACGTTTCTCCCCCCTTGTTCACCAGTAAGGTTTGCAAGGCTCCTAAGAAGATGAGATAGCAAATCCTGATCTGTCGTCTGGTCAGATCTATTAGCTGTATGTTAAGAAAAACAGAATCATTCACCAGTGTATTGCAAAAGCAAACACCAAATATTACAGGAAAATATATGAACCATGTTACACAATCATACCAGCTATTTTAACTTCTAAATTCATCTAAAATCCATATTTCATCGAAAGCCCATGATAAACATCATCAGAATTTCTTTTCATATTGCTCGTTCAAACATAGCCTTTAATTCGAATTAGGTCCCCCAAGAAAATCGGGGAAACTGATTGTGAAATATGAAAAAAATGAAACTAAAAAAGCTACAGAGCCCCATTGTTGACAGGAAAAATGAATTGTTATGACAAAACAATCAAGTTATACTCACAATGCATGTTAGAAAGTATCTTCAAAAGACTTAACAACAGATAACCACTAGTCTGCTCATCATTCAGTGATTTGCTATTGGCAACAGTCTCGGGATTTGTTTTCCTCCTCCTTTTATTGTGGCCAGCCAAACGTCTGCGACAGCTTCTCTTACCTTCATCAAACTCTTGAAGGACATGAAACCTAAAAACCAAACATATCAGCTTGTCCTTTTTATCAGAATTTCTACATGTTAAATTAGCCTCTCTCTTTCATGTCAGGAAAGTGTTGCAAGTTTCAGATGCTAACCTACTGCATTGTTGACAAAATCGCTGCATGACATTTCCAACCAGTGCCTTACTAGCTTTGGAATGCATCTCACAAACCTTATGCCGTCTATGATAATCCTTGGCCTGGCTCAGATCAGCACCACAGTCCTTAACCTGACAAACTGCGCGATTTCCAGAACCTCCGCTCAACTTAGTCTTCTTCCCACTAGCTCCGTCCCAAGCTCTCATCTCACTTTGACTGATTGGATAACCGTGACCACCTTGGGAACCGAGCTTTAAAGTAAGGCCACCTGCTTCTCCATTGGCACCGTCATCTTCCACCACAATAACCCTCCTTTTCTTTTCCAATTCCCTTTTCCCTTTATCAGTTTCAGGATTCATTTCTTCAGAGCATGACGATGAACCATTCGACGAATTTCCAGGAATCCCAGAACCGAGTGGGAAAAACTGCCTTCCCATGCCGTCAGCAGACACTTGATTTATGGAGCTAGCAATGAAAAGGTCACCATCCCATTTCCAATCGTTCAAATCCCACTCCACTGTCCTTTTCCCAACCGCACGCAAATCTACCGGATTCATTCCATAAAATGAACGAGCTTCAGTTGCAAGTCTAGCCTCCATTTTCCAAACCCAGATACACAACAAGATCCGAACCCAGTAATTCAATCTAAAAATATAATTTTACAACAAAAACCCAGAACTTTAACCCTGTTCCAGCTACAGATCGGAGCTCTAAAACCCCCCAAAATAGACAAATTATACAATTAATTACAACTAATCAGCTTCAGCTCTTCCCCAAAAGTCCAAAAACAGTACACAGGCACATCCAAGATTCCAATTAAGAGCAACCACATACCAAATTAACTTATGAGGGGGGGGGAACAGAAGAAGCCCACTTCTCAATTCCCCAAATCTAAAACACCGAGCCTCTTTTTTTCTATTTCCAATCCCCCCGAAAATTAAATTGAAAAACAACAAACTAAAATCTAATCAAACAAGCAGAAGGAATCAAAAGGTCAAAAGGATAACAAACTTAAAAAAGGTAACTCGCTGAGAAGAGTAGGGAAAGTGGAGACGGAAAGTGAACGCAAGTCTTTAAGACAAGTTGCCCTTGCGCAAGGTTTTCTCTGATGATGAAAGGGAACGTGTTCGTTTGCTTGTTGGTTTTCTCGGGAAAGCGTTTCTGGGTGGTGATTTGGTGCGTTGTGGAACACACAAAATGGGCAAAAAATCATAAATTTACAAATTCACTTTTTTTTATCAATTGATTAATTAATTTAAATTAGATACTATAAAAATAAAGATAATTCTTTCAATTCAGTTGCTTCATTTTTAATCGATACGATTCAAATTTCTAATCTTAAGATCTAGTTATTTAAAGATCTAATGTCTTATCTTATTAGATTAATCGATTTTCGATAAATTTACAAACTCACTTGTTTTTTTTTCTTGGGAAAAAATGGATTAAAATAAATTTAACGTTAAAAGGAAATGCGCTTTTGTTTTTACTTATTCCGATTCCGTTTGGTGGGCATACTTGCACGCGCCGTGTCTCACTCCCTTTGCTAAGGTTAGGGTTGAGCAACGAAATCGAGAAAATCGAAAAATCGACACGAATCGAGTAAAACGGTTTGGTTCGATTCGGTTTGGCTTTAAACGGTTCGGTTTAAAGGCTTTATTTTTTTATTCGGTTTGGTTCGGGTTTTCCATATGGAACCCATTTGTTCCATATTGAACCGAATAGGCAATTTTTGTAAAAAAAATTATAGTTTCAAGTGATTTTTTTATTGAAAAACCGATAAATTAAACCGAACCGAAAAACCCGAACCGTTAAAAAAACCAAACCGAACCGAAAAAACCGATTTCGATTTTTTCGGTTTTTTAACTATTCGATTTCGGTTTCGGTTTAAATATTGAAAACCCGTTTATTTCAGTTCGGTTCAATTTTTAGTAAAAAATCAAACCGAACCGAACTGAATACACCCCTAACTAAGGTAATTGTAAGGAGTATTCCAATAAATATTTTTCTAATATTTAAATTACATTTTTAATACATGTTAATATCAATGATATTATTATTTTAGAATTTTAATTAAAGATAAAAAGGAATAAGAGATTTTCGTATTTCTTATTTCTCAAATTATTTTTTTCTCAATATTGACACCCTAATTCAAAAAATAAATTCAATATAATCGTTTGACCAACATTTTTTATCATTTGACCATTATGGTGTTGACATGATAGTTCACGGTGTTGATGTGACAATCCATGATACTGGCGTCTAGTTTGAGTTACCAATTTAGCTCACCTGACATGTTATCTATTACCGTAGATTACAACGTCAACACTATAACGGTTAAACGAAGAAAAATATTGGTTAAAGAACCACATTGAACTTATTTTCTGAGTTGAAATATCACATTAAGAGAAAAAATAATACGATGACTATATTAATTTTTTTTTCAAAAGTACATAGACATATAATGTCTTTTTGCCTAATTTAAATATTAACATTGTGTCTCGTTTGAATTCGATGAAAATTCCGACTTTTTTTATAAAATTATTTTTTTCATAATTCAAAATCAAATTATATTATTCTTCATTTAAAAAGTAAAATCAAGTGAAACTAAATCAAAATTTAAATTTAAAATGAAAAATACTCTACTCAATTTTCCTTGAATTAGAAATAATGATATAACAAAAGTAACACAGTCACAATATGAAAAACCCAAAGAGGTGAAAATAAAATTAAAATATTCCCTAAATTATATACTTCATATTTTAAAAAAAATAACAATCAATAATTTTTTCTCTATTTAAAATAATTTGATAATTTATTTCGTAAATTATTATGAATACATCCATAAATTGTCTTAAAAAAGATCTAACTATACAAGATTGTTGACATTTTCTGATCAGATACATTCAACATGAAGCACCAAACTATTGTAACTATAGACAATATTATACCATAAATGTAAACGAACAATCATGTCATATCCCTGCATGTATGGTACTAGAATTCGATATCTATAAAATAAAAAAAAATTAATCAAATTAATCACTGAGATTAATTAATTCATGTAATGTAATTGTACTTTATATATATAAAAGAATAATTACTAAGATATAATGTAAAGAGTTAAATAATGCTATTTTATATTCTAATTTTTTTAAATGATATAATGAATTAATTATTAGTGGGCACAAAAATGATATAATGATATAATATTAATGGAGGTTATAATCACTTTCAGGGGTCAAAAAGGTGTGGGTTGGAATGTTTGTGCTTCATCGATCGACGGATACAACAGTCGATGGCTGGCGAGCCGGGCCGTTAAATTTTTAATGGCTAGCACTAAAATAAAACAAAAACTAAACATTAAGTATGATTTTTAAAAAAATTAAAAGTTTAGGTACTATAACAGAAAAAAAATTGATAGTTTATATACTAAACATATAATTTACCTTTATTTTAATTGAATTGAATTAATAATTAAATCATCTATTAGATATAATTTTCACGTTGTGCACAAACCAAACGATCTTAATGGTTAAAAAGATAATTATTATACTTAAAGGTTTAATGTTTGGGCATCGATGATTGTAGGATATTCGAGTGTTCATTGTCAAATGATTAAAAGTTTTTAGAACATATATTACCACTTATAATAACCTTAAATTAATAAAAAAAAATCACATAACGTGGAATCAGGATTATTTCTTCCATCCAAGTTGATTTTATTTTTATTTAGAATAATTATAAATATGTTTTGTAAAAGAAATACAAATATTGAAGATTTAATTATCTATTTGAGTAAAAGGGGAGTTAAAGAGGGAAAAATATGGTGTCTTAAAATTAGGATGACAACGGGTCGGGTTTTTTGGTTAATTTGATCTTATCCAGATCAAAGATTTTATATATTACATTCGATCTGACTCAATCCAAAAATATATATTCTCTATTTGTCTCCGATCTGACCTGATTTTTTAGATTATTGTAAGGTATGGCTCATAAATATACCGGTAAAGAGGACAGGGGATGAAGCGGAGTGAGCGAAGCGAACGCAGCGAACATCAACTGTCCTTACAAAGAAAGTCTCGTAGAGGGGGTTACGATTATGTGGGTTGGAGGTGCGGGGCCTACGCCCCCGCGGTATGGTACAAGGTTAATTTTGTAATTATGTATCAGAGTTTTCTATTATAAATAGAGATGTAACATAAACCTATGAGAATTGAATAAAATTTTCTAGCGCCGCCTAGGCACCGAGGACGTAAGCACATTGCCGAACCTCGTTAAAATTATTGTGTTCTTTCGTTTACTTTGCCCAATTAATAAACAATAAATTCGACCGACCCAATATAAATTAAAGATTTAATTAAAATAATAATAAGATTTTAAAGAAAATTATATTATTATCTCCATATCGGGTAAGAGTTTTTTCACCCTCTATTTGAACCCAACACGACCCAAACTCATTTTTTTAGATCCAACCCTATCAAATCAAATTGAATCAGAGTAAAATTATTGTCCCTACTTAAAATGGGTTGTAGGCAGGTACAAGAGCCCACGAATGAAAGCAAATCTCATGCCAATTCTTCTACAGCCTGTCCAAGTTGTTATGTCTGTACTCGTTTTAATAACCCAATTGATCACTTGATCACACCATTTGCCAAATTTTAGTTAAATCCTCAACTTTTTTTTAAATAATTTTTAATTTAAAATTTCAAAATTTTAAATAAATGTTAAAGTATACAAATGGTCATGCGATTATAGGATGCTGCTTTATTAGGTCCTCAGACTATTAAAAGTTATAAAATGGTTCTCCAACTACACAATATTACTTTGTTAAGTCCATCGACTATTAAAAGTTATAAACTGATAACATGACTATTCATTTATTTCAAACTCATTATTTTTTGTTAAAAAAATGACAATAATATGAGTTTAATGTAAATATATAGACTGAGATGTAATAGTATTTTGAAAGCATATTTTATCATATCATAATCAACAAGTTAACATCTAATTTAGTTCGTCTTAATTTTTTTAACTAAAAATTACGAGTTTGGGACATATGAATAATCGAATAACCATTTTGTAACTTTTAATAGTCGGATAACTCAACAAAACATCATCTTATAGCTGTGGATAATTTGTGTACTTTACCCTTAAATAAACCTCTTCAAATTATTGAGTAAATTACGCGTTTAGTATTTATACTATCAATTTTGATCTGTTTTAGTGCCTAAACTTTTTTAAAAAAATTAAAACTTGACGATAAATTTTGAATGATGTACTAAAATAAAACAAAATTAAATTATATGTATGATTTCAATTTTTTTTAAAAATTTAAATATTAAAACGGACCAAAACTGATATTTAAGTACTAAATACGTAGTTTATCTTAAATTGTATCATAAAAATCCGTAGCTAAAAGATATGTGAACAAGATCATCCCCAATCATGTGCCGCACCATTATCATCTTCACGGCTTCGACCTCTATGCATAAATCTCTCAACAAAAAACAAAACAAAACAAAACAAAACAGATACTTTAAAAAGCAAGGGAACAGAAGAACAGAGCTAGAAACAATAAGAGTTTGTTTACGTATCTTAATCTACTAATTATTACTCAAAGCACTTGTTTAATTCTCCTGGTCGTATTAGCAATTGTTTAAAATAAAATAAATTAATATATATATATATATATATATATATAAGAAAAAAAATAGCTTTCCCTTGTTCCCATATGTAATGGGGTAAGGGGAGGTAAGATAGTAGGTTGACCCCAACACTAGGTTGAGTGCAGCTTTCGTAGGAGATCTCCGAATTATGAAATGCCCTCCATGAGACTCGATCTTACGACCTCAAGGTTAAGAACCTTGTGCTCTACCAACTGAGTTGGATGGTCATTTCATATATATATATAAGAAAGATATGTAATAATCTAAATAATGTTTGTATATGAAATTCTATCGATCGATTAATTCAATATTAGTAATGCAAAAATAAAGATGTTTCTTTTAATCTAATATGTTTCATTCATACATATAAAAATTTAAAATTTTGACCTTACCTAAAAAGTTTTAGTATTTCATCCACTAAATTAATTGTTCGTATATAATATTTTTGATATAATTATTAATATTCGATCTATTAATCGATTAATCTGAATTATATTATTGAGATAAAGACGATACTTCTAATTTAATTTAATCCACCGCTTCATTTGGATAAATAATATGAAAAAAAGTAGAGAGATTAAAAAATTATTATAGGGAAATAAGACAATAGTATTCGCTTGAAAAATATTTGGGACTGTTTTCCGTAAGTGGGAGTCGTCGGCAACTGTATCAGATAACCGGACGACGACTTTTCCGATTACTTTCTTTTAATAGTTCAGATCGTCCATAGTCTCATCCAACGGTCCAAATCTATTTGACTTAAGCTAGCCGTATCTCAGTGTTGTTATGTTAAAAGCCTCGAGGGTTTTGGCCTCTCTTTATTTTATATTTCCACTCTTCTCTGTCGAGAGAATAAGCTAACGCAGCCAAATCATCGGCCACCATTCTAGGTAAGACCTCACATCTTCCCCCTTGCTTCTATTTTTCATCAGCTTTTTTCTTGCCTGTTTTCAGTTCCAACTTCCTAAATTTTACCCGTCCTTCAATAGCAATCGGGAATCTGATAATAGCTAAGCAGTTTCATTTTGTGGGCGATTTATAGTTATCCATCTTAGTTTTAACGTGAATTTTGGCCTTTGGACACCCGAGGGAAAATCACTTTCAGATCTCTGATTTGAAAGTTGGTCAGCGTAGCGAAAGTGATGGATAATTGCTTCTTCACTAATCTAGACACTTTCTTCTCCGATTAATTGGATATTTGCACATGCTTATATAACTTCTGTACTCACGAAGTAATGGATTGTAGTAATATGTGTATTGACTAGGGCTGCGGCTTTATTTTGCTATAATTGGGATATTAGATTTGAAACTGATTGGGGATACGCTGTTTCTAGATCTTCTAAATTCTAATCTTATGTTTTTATTTTGTTTTTCTTTAAGTTTGTGATATGGCTGGAGGGGAGCAGAAGAAGTCTGGCGGTGGTAAGTATATTCTTTTGCTCGTCTTGGTTAGGTTTTACCATTAATGTGCGTATAAAGGCGTGGCGTCTTATAAATTTGTGAATGCTTTGTTGTTGATATTTCAGGAGGGAAAAAGAAGGAAGTGAAGAAGGAGACTGGTTTGGGTCTCTCCTTTAACAAGGATGAGAATTTCGGTGAATGGTACTCTGAGGTATATTTTGTTGGAATCATGCAATGGTTTTGTGTTTATTATTAGGAATTATTTGGATCTTAATATATTATTATTGTATAATCATTTTGTTTTTTAGGTTGTTGTGAACAGTGAAATGATCGAGTACTATGACATTTCTGGCTGTTATATTCTTAGACCATGGGCAATGTCAATTTGGGAGATCATGCAAGTGAGTCATATGATTTTCATATACTGCATTTTATTTTGTTTCCTTTCCTTCTGGTTAACTTATCCATCATGTGCAACTGTAGACATTTTTTGATGCTGAAATCAAGAAGATGAAAGTCAAGAACTGCTATTTCCCTGTCTTTGTATCTCCAGGCGTTTTGGAGAAGGAGAAGGATCACATAGAGGGTTTTGCTCCAGAGGTGAGAACTAATTTTCTTTTGGCATGTTAACCTTGTGGCTTGGCTTAAAGTTTATACTTTATTTTATCAATATTTTCTTTTGAGGCCATTTGTGACCAAATTTTAGTTTTTTTTTGTTTAATTAGGTTGCTTGGGTGACAAAATCTGGTGAGTCCGATTTGGAGGTGCCTATTGCTATCCGCCCAACTAGTGAGACAGTTATGTACCCCTATTATTCTAAGTGGATAAGAGGACACCGTGACTTACCTTTAAGACTCAACCAGTGGTGCAATGTTGTTCGATGGGAGTTCAGCAATCCTACACCATTTATCAGGTAGTTAAACTCAGTCAACTTTATTAATTTCTCAGTTCTTTTGACAGCAAGCTAGGAATTTTATTTAATGTTTTTTGAGGATAGAGTGGTCACTACTAACTCGCTGCTTGATTGTAGGAGTCGTGAATTTTTATGGCAAGAAGGGCATACTGCCTTTGCAACAAAGGAAGAGGCAGACACAGAGGTAGTACTCTTAAATTTTTTAATTTTTCAGCAATATTTATACTGTTGAGAAATGAAGTTTGTTATAATGTTGGAGCATAATGAACTTGGGAAGGTCTAAGTAAAAGGAAATTTTGTATGGCTGACCCTTTGCTCTTCCACATTTAGCAACAATTAACTTTTTGTTTAGAACAGCATTATTGCCTCAGAATTCCTGAATCAAGTATTTAAGCAAGCATGCTAGTAATGTCACATGCGATCATAGGTCATTGTTCTTACAAGTTTCAGCCTTTTGAATTATTACCGAAGAATGTCTGCTGGATCACTTTTGATGTATTGTTATTCTTTAGGTTCTTGAAATATTGGAGCTTTACCGACGTATATATGAGGAGTTCTTGGCTATTCCTGTCACAAAAGGCAGGAAGAGTGAACTGGAGAAGTTTGCCGGTGGACTTTACACCACTAGTGTTGAGGTATAGTATAATCAAGCATGTTATAACAATCTGTACTTGTTGCCATAATCAATGAACATAGATTATTTGCTTAATAAATGTTCTTTAATCTAAAGCGAGGAGCTTTTAATCTGATATTAACATTATAGGCATTTATTCCAAATACTGGGCGTGGTATTCAAGGTGCAACCTCACATTGTTTGGGACAAAACTTCGCAAAAATGTTTGAGATAACTTATGAAAATGAGAAGGGTGAGAAGGCTATGGTCTGGCAGAATTCCTGGGCATATAGCACTCGAACGGTAAAACTTTCTCTCTTTACTTTGGGTGTTGGCACCAATTAATTCAAGTTCCTTGTGATCCCATCCTGCCATTTATATTTTGCCGATGTAGGTGATTACACAGGCTTGGAAGTGAAAAGAATCCTTAACCACTTATAAAATTTTGATTTATTCTTTTCTCCTTATTCTTGCTATTCTGATTATAATTTTTCTTCCCCGTTTTTTTCCTTCATTTTTCAGATTGGGGTCATGGTAATGGTTCATGGGGATAACAAAGGCTTAGTGCTGCCGCCAAAAGTAGCGGCTTTGCAAGTTATTGTGATTCCTGTGCCTTACAAAGATGCAGATACTAAAGGAATCTTTGATGCCTGTGCTGCCACTGTGGCAACCCTCTCAGAGGCTGGTATTCGAGCTGAAGCTGATCTTAGAGAAAACTACTCACCTGGCTGGAAGTACTCAAACTGGGAAATGAAAGGTGTTCCCCTGAGGATTGAAATAGGTCCCCGAGACTTGGCAAATAATCAAGCTAATCCCCACCCCTCTTTTCTCATTGCTGCTTTCCTTCAATTATTTTTTATTATTTTCCTATTGTAACTATACAGTTGAAACCGAAATGTGTTTTGTTTGACAGGTGCGTGTGGTTCGCCGTGACAATGGAGAAAAGACCGATATCTCTAGAGTGTTTTTGGTTGAACAAGTAAAAGGAATGTTGGATAAGATTCAACAGAACCTATTTGATGCTGCAAAACAAAAGAGAGATGCCTGCATTGAAGTTGTAAAAACTTGGGATGGGTTTGTTGAAGCTCTCGGGAAAAAGAAACTGATCTTAGCTCCATGGTGTGATGAGGAGGTATGACTTGAATTTACAGAACAATGTTGTTTTGATTCTTCTCTGAAGTGTTTTGTTACGCACCATAATGAGTTGGATCATATTTAAACCTTTCCAGACATCTTGCGCATTTTCTTAAAAGACAGTTTTGTGCATTTAGGATGTGGAGAAAGACGTGAAAGCACGAACAAAGGGTGAGATGGGAGCAGCTAAGTCTCTTTGTACCCCATTCGAACAGCCTGAACTCCCCGAAGGTACTTGGCTCCATCTGAGCAGGCATTGCTTTTAAACAATAGGATATCCCCCCTTGGCCCTGGTGGTCTTTTATTCTTCTATAAACTTAAGTTATATGTGTTTTGTACTCATCCAAAGTAAAAAATTGTGCAGGTACTAAATGCTTTGCCTCTGGGAAGCCTGCAAAAAAATGGACCTATTGGGGCAGAAGTTACTAGGATTGTTCATTTTTTATATCCATCCCCTTCGCTTGGTTCAACAGTTGAGGTTATTGGCTCATTCTGAACTTGTGAAATTTTCGGTTTAAAATTGTTACATGGAGCTGAGTTTTTAATCATATTGTGGGATCTTTGTTTTTCCTTTTCTGTCAGAATTTTTCTTTGCTACAATGGATTTGCTGTTTTATGGGGAGCTATTTATTACAAACTTATAATATATGGTCCATTGTACTTGGAAAATCTCAAATGTTCTCTTTTTCTTTTAATCATCGGGATCATTTGATGAATTCATAACAAATCGAAGACTTAATTATTCGATCTGAATTTTCTTTTATTAATCTGAAGTAAATATAAGGTAATAAATGTTCAAAGAAAACTCTCAATCTTTCGGTAATGAATGTTCACATATTTGGCATTTATAGTGCTCGAACCCGAGTTTTCAATGAATAATAATTTTTTTTTATCACGAGACCACTAGTATAATTCCTTTATTACGAGGTTAGTACAATTCTTTTATCATGAGGCCATAAACCACTTGATTGGTGCAAATTTAAATGTATATCAAAGGCTACAAGTTAAAACATCCATTTCATATTTTAATATATTTCTTAATTATTATTCTCTTTTATTTTTGGTTCAAAGATTCCCGAGTGGTTGGTGACTACAATATGCACACCATAAACTGAAGGTTGAAGTTTCATATTAACCCCTCTATTATATGTATATTATTTTGGGTAAATTATATAAATAGTCCCCCAACTTAGTGTACTTCTTTATTAAGTCCATTAACTATTAAAAGTTACAAATGGTCCTCTAACTATAGAATGTTGCTTTTTGTTAAGTCATTTAACTATTAAAAGTTACAAAATGGTCATCCGACTATTCATCTATTAAAAGTTATAAAATGGTCCTCTGACTATAGAATATTGCTTTGTTAAGTCCCTTAACTATTACTAAATGGTCACCCAACTATTCATTATGTTATAAAATCGTCCTTTTCTGTTAAAAATTGACGGTTGTCTAAGCTGGACGTTAACATGATGACAGAGATATGATAGTCATTTGATATTCTGGAATCAAATTTTATCATATCACAATCAGTAAGTTGACGCTTAGCTCATAATACCGTCAATTTTTTAAAGAAAAATGACGAGTTTGGAACATAATGAATAATCAGGTGATCATTTTATATCTTTTAATAGTTGGACTTAACAAAGTAACACACTATAGTTTGAGGATTATTTTGTAACTTTTACTAGCCAAAGGATTTAATAAAGTAAAACACTATAGTCGGGAGACCATTTGTGTACTCTACCATATTATTTTTTAAATTTTGATAATAATCTAAATAATAATTGTAAAATATATTAATCAAATTGTGCTTCTAGTCTCCATATTTATATCTAAATAAATTTTATAATTTAAAATTAATATTTTATTTTCTTATCCTATATTTTTTTTTAAAATTAGTAATTGATAATATATTCTATAAATACAATTTTTTGAAATTAGATAAAAATAATAATATCTCATCTTACCACTAAAATTATTCAATAAATTCATTTATTAAACAATATTTAAATATTTAAAATAATAAGAAATTAAATATTTTATAATCTTAAGTTCAAAATTTTTAAAATGCGGTCCAACTTGATTTCACCCTATACATATACGCAGCTATATAAAACATGGTAGGATATGTTATGTTTGAGTTATTAATTTAATCAATTTATCATGTTATTCGGTATGTTAATCTGCACTTTAGATTGTCATGTCAGTATTATAAACTGCTACGTCAGCATCATAAACTACCACATCAATATCGTAACGTTAACGATGAAAAAACAATGATCAAAGGGTCACATTGAGTTTATTTTTTGAGTTGAAGGGCCGCATTGAGTGAAAAAATAATACGATGGTCACATTAATTTCTCCCAAAAATACGGAGACCTCTAATGCATTTTTACCTTTAGTTAATCATCTTTTAAATCCTTATTTAAATTATCCATATAAGATTAATTCTAATTTAATGCATGATTTTACATTTAATTACAGTCTTTCAAACTATAAAATAACGAAAATATAAAATTATAATTACGATCTCATGAATCATAATTTCGATTTTTTTAATAATTTGGGATAAATATAAGGAAATATCTATTTGAAGAACACTCTCAATCTTTTAACATTTAACGCATGATATATGATACTCGAATTCGAATATTCAGAAATAACAGTAATAATTTTATTTTTGACTGTTTTACTAACTTAATTGAAATATATAATTAATGATTTGATTGGATTAATAAGATCAAAAAGAGTGGTTCGAAAATAATTTTATTTTTTGACAGATTTTACGAACTTAATTGAAACTAGTAAGATTGTGATGGCATAAAACGAGGAATGGATGGATTAGAAAGAGGAGTCGGATGCCTCCTCTTTTCATGCAAGGACTTTCGATCTCCAAGAGAAAATCTCTTTGCTATATAAAACTTGTAAAGCTCACTTCTTCCATCAATGCTCTGCAAATAGAAACCCAAGGCTCACATAATAAACAAAAAAGTCAATAACATACTGTGAACCCCAAAATTCACTGATCCTTTTTTGCTATCTGAATTGATAAACCATTGTCAGTCACTGCTAGTTCAAAGCTTTTAACTTTTATGGGTAATCATTCATTTCTCCTCATCAGTGAGCAAGAAAGACACAGTGAGAGCTAATGGAGGAGCAAGTGAAGACATAAGAGTGACCCTACTGCTTAATTCTTGGCGGGTATCAACAGTCATTTTCAATGATTTTTTTCTTCGCTTTGGTTAGTGGTAGTGGTTCTCTCAATGACCCATCCTCACGCACTTTCTTTATTGGTACGTAGCTCGAGAAAGGATCTTGTTCTTGCTCAGATGGGAAATTAAGTAAAGATCTTTCACTTTATTCCCGTTTTTGATCAATTGAAAAGGAGAGGGCTTTTGTTAGAAGGTTGGGTTTTTGTGGCTGAGAAGAAAGTTGCAGACCTCATTCATATGAAGAGATCTTTCAGCGTGAGTTGCTTGATTCTCGCTTTTACATTTTTGAAACTCTGCTTTGTCGTTTTAACTTTTACTTCGGCCTCAGTTTATTGACTTTATTCAAATTATCTATGCTACAACACCAAGTTCTTGACTTCTTGGACTATGAAGGAGATCTGAACAAAATGTTCAATATATGTTAGGGAAGAATTTTAGGGATCTAAATGAGAAAATGCTTCTTTCTATGAGAAAATGCTTCATCTGGGCATAACTGTGATTTTTCTTTGCATAGTTATAGGAAATTCTGTAAAATGTAGCTCAATTTATTGCTTTTCTTTTCATCTGCTGGTTTCATGGCATGAAATGTGTGAGTTATATACTATTCATGACTTGGTTGATAGTAGAAGTTATTCCTTCACCACTTTTGCATGTTTCTCATTTGCCTATTTTCAGGCATCTTTTGATTCACATTGCTGTTAGATGGTCAATCTTGTCTGAGTTACTTTATCCGTAAATTTCCCCTATCTACCTATCACAGTCAATCAAGAGTAGCTGAAGAAAAAAAGGGGGAAGCTATAACCTTCATGGTTAGTTCTGTTTGCATTTTTTCGCAGCTGGTGGATGTGCTTCTCGTACTTGCATTTTTCAGTCATATTACATGGGCTGTCAGTGGCAGCTCACCTTGCAAACAGACCGATGTCGGGGTGATTCGGCCTCATAGTACCTTCATGGTTAGTTCTGTTTGCATTTTTTCGCAGCTGGTGGATGTGCTTCTCGTACTTGCATTTTTCAGTCATATTACATGGGCTGTCAGTGGCAGCTCACCTTGCAAACAGACCGATGTCGGGGTGATTCGGCCTCATAGTGTCACCATTACCGAATTTGGCACGGTTGGAGACGGTGTCACTCTCAATACAAAAGCATTTCAGAATGCCATCTTCTACCTCAATTCCTTTGCTGACAAAGGTGGGGCCAAGCTTTTTGTCCCGGCTGGTCGGTGGTTGACAGGAAGCTTCAATCTCATCAGTCACCTAACCTTGTGGTTAGATAAGGATGCGGTAATTCTTGGATCAAAGGTAAGTCTGTAACTTCCGAACCACATTTATCGGCTGGATACAAAAAGAACATTCTGGCAGTCACATGGTCTTCCCTCTGATCCACTGCTGGCTAGAATTTTTGTTGTGTATGGGATTTAATCTACTGTTACGATGCTATATATAATGAACGGTTGATGTCGGAGAATATGCATTTTTCAGCTATTTGCTTTTTCAACTCAACACTTGTATGGTGAACATACTACATTCATGATCATGATGCTCTACTGTTGTATAACACCGTAGCTGTCATTGTTTCATACTTCTGATGATTGGCCACTTGTTGATCCAGTGCCATCCTACGGTCGAGGCAGGGAGTTACCCGGTGCAAGGCACCAGAGCCTCATATACGGTCGCAATTTGACTGATGTAATCATAACAGGTCAGTAACGTTGATGAGAAATCATAATCCGTTGGCATTTTATTTCGTTTTTTGATTCCTCATGTTCTTCATGCAGGTGATAATGGAACTATTGATGGCCAGGGCAGTGTTTGGTGGAACTGGTTTAGAAGCAAAACTCTGAACTATACTCGGCCCCATCTGGTTGAATTGATGAACTCGACTGGGGTTGTAATCTCGAACTTGACTTTCTTGAATTCTCCGTTTTGGAACATTCACCCAGTTTACTGCAGGTTTGTGGTCTACCTGAGTATTAGCATGCTCTTGAATGTTGCAATCAAATTGTATGCACCATCAGTTTATAGGGACATAACTATCAAGACTGAAAGCATTTTCCCATTAAGTTAATACTTTTTATTTTCTCGATTGACAGCCGTGTCACGGTCCAGAATGTCACAATCATGGCTCCTTTGGATTCACCAAACACGGATGGGGTTGATCCAGGTGAGTTCAAAATGATCAACTTTAAGTAAATCTTGAATGTTTGCAAATACCAAGCAACACAAGACTCTTATCTCTGTTTTTTGTTCTCCGGTTTGCCATGTTAACCTCTAAAGCCTTTCTTATTGATTTTTTGAATACATCCAGACTCTTCTGATGATGTTTGCATTGAAGACTGTTATATTAGCACTGGTGATGATCTAATTTCCATCAAAAGTGGGTGGGATGAGTATGGCATCTCATTTGCTCGTCCCAGCACAAATATCGTCATCCGCAGGATCATTGGCCACAATCGGAACGGCTCCGGGATTGCAATTGGAAGTGAGATGTCTGGAGGTGTTTCTGAAATTTATGCAGAAGACATCTTTTTATTCAATTCAAGCACGGCTATTAAAATAAAAACTGCTCGTGGAAGGGGTGGTTATGTGAGAAATATCTATATTTCAAATGTGACCCTGCCCGGTGTAGACACGGCTATAATTTTCAATGGTAGCTTTTCTCAGCATCCAGATGAGTTTTACGATCCGAATGCTCTCCCCGTGATAGAAAGAATTACCTTCAAAGACGTCACGGGAGATAGCATAAAAGTCGCCGGCCTCCTCAATGGCATCGAAGGGGACAGTTTCCGTCATGTTTGCTTATTGAATATAACTCTCAGTGTAACCACAGAGTCTCCATGGAACTGCTCAAATGTTCAAGGATACTCCGATTTGGTTTCCCCAAAAACTTGTGAACCTCTGAAGGAAAGCATCAACCCGAAGTATTATTCGGATTGTTACCTTCTACCAGTCATCTGTCGAGTTCAGGTAATCAAAACAAAGGTTCTTGGTTGCTTTCGTGGTAAATAATGGAAACAAAGCATTATTCAGATTGTTACCCTCTTTCATCAATTTTGATTTCTTTACCCGGAATTTTGATTCTTCCCACTTCTCGAAACAAACATCCTAGCACCTCTCCAAGAGAACGGTGCCCGACATAAGAAGTTGATTGTTTATTGTAGCTGTGTGCAGTAGCAGATAATTGAGTGTGATTAGATGAATGTCTTTTGTTTTTTTTTTCCCTTCTCCTTTACCCTTTTGGCTGCATGTCAAGTTTTGTTATGTTCATATGGAACAAGTTCTTCAAAAAAAAAAAAGGTTCAATGAAAATAGAATCATAGAAATATTTACATGCAATATGTACTTTAGGTTGTAATGGCTCTATTCTGATTGTGGTCAATCCAGCCTGTTTCCTGGAAAGTTGCTGCACAGAAGGCCAAGTTCCATGCTTTGGCAGCATATGTGAAGCAAGTTCCCGAGCTAAAGTACACACAATAATGACCCCATAGACCCATTTCTTTGTTCTTTTGTAAACCGTACCAGATTCTTCGTATCGATGCATGTTCTTGGTGCAAGTTGTTCCACTGTATCAGCATTCATCAATCTGAAAAGAACTCGAAAGAACAGAGAACCTTAAACGATTTGAATGTTGTTCGTCTTGGAGATGGTTCACTTTCCATCTTTCTTTATGACAGAACCCATGATTTAGCTTCAAAACCCTTTAGATTTGCTTCTTTTCTTCTTCTTGGAGCTGGTTCTATCAGAAGGGTCAATTGCACTTACACCTAATGAACATGAACATAACTGAGAGTGCCTGGAAACGAAAACCAAATGAATATAAAACACAAATATCACAACCAACATTATTCATTGCCGATACGTGGGGCAGTGGGGATTCTTATGTTTAGCAACATCCATGAGTTCCTCCAAACTCTTCAGTGAATTAAATTCTGAGCTCAACAAAGAAGTAAGAATCACTGAAGCATTTGGAGGAACTCGAGGAATTCACCAAACGTGAAGCACTAATTTTCTTGCTGGGTTGGGTTGAGAAGACCCTTGTATATTGCAGTCTTCAAAATGAGCTAAGAATCCGACGATATCTCTGAGTACTCAGGTGCAACTGGGCAAATGTTATGGCTTGAACCTGGCTATATTTGCAGGTTGAATTCGTTAAAAGCCAAAGGGGGTTCATTGAACGTGGACATGGCAGTGGGTATACGGTGCTTTATTCTGCTTATTATGCGTGGCAAATGTTGGCTGCAGACGGAATATTCTTATCTTAACTGACAAGTGCCAACTGTTTACAACACTTAGATTTCTACAAAAGCTCTCTTTACACATGCAAAAACAGTGAAATTTCAACAGCAAGCCCGAACCCACCATCGATATGTGCTGGTATTAGCCCAAGGTGTTCTTGCTGGGTATATTCTACTCATATGTTCGTATAATATTACTGGTCAATACGAAGACATCAAAATTTCATCACCCAATGGCTAGTTGGTGGAGAAAGTGGTGCAAGACTGAGGGAGCTGCGGTGATTCCGGAAGACCAGGTACCCCACCATTGATAGTAGCACTGATTCCATCGTTGGTCTGTGTCGGTGGTGCTCCCACGATTGTCGAAATAGCAGCGGCTAAGGCTGCGGTGAAATTCGGATTGGAAGCTATGGCGGCCTTAACAGTTTCGACCATGGAAGCAGTACGTTGTTGTTGTTGCACCATCTGCATTTCCGGCAACGGAGATGGCTTGTCGGGAGCAGACATAGGGTAACCGTCATGCAAAGGTGATGGAAAAGGCGGGGGACGGGCGATGTAATGAACGGGGTTTGGGCCCTGAGTTAAGTCAAGCGTTATGGTCGGAAAAGGAGGGGAGGCGGATTGTGTGGCCATTGTGGATGCGTAGGGTAAAGAGTAGCTGGAACTTGGTGGTACTCCTCCATCCTTGCTTGTGGTTGAACCTGATAGCAACATGGCCGCCGCTGCTGAGGTTGTTTTCGCCATTGCTGTGGCTGCCGGCGGTAGAGGGTGATTATGGGTTGCTTCGTATGTTGTTATTAGAATGCTTTTATCTTCTGCACATCTTTGCACCTGTAACAAATCAAAAGATCAAACTCAGTTTTATCTCTAGAATTAAAGTGTTCAAATCCTGACGTCAAAAAAAGGTAAATTATATTTAATACTTAAATTTTTATTTTTTCAAAATCATATCTAAAATTTAATTTAATTTCATTTTAGTACTATGCCCTTAAAATCTTTAGTTTTTGTTTCATTTTAGTACTTTCGTTCAAAATTCAACATTAAGTTTTAAAAATATTGAAAGTTTAGGTACTAAAACGGGCAAAAAATGATAGTTTAGATACTAAACGCATTAAATTTTTAATGGAGAGGTACTAAAATGAAATGAAAACTAAATACTAAATGTGATTTTGAAAATTTTAAAAGTTGAGGTATTAAAATAGGTCAAAATTGATAATTTAAATATTAAATACGTAATTTATTCAAAATTAATTTAGACAGAAAGAATCATTCCATAATAATCTTTGTCATTAATGGATATAGGCGGGACGAATGAGGGCAATCACCCTCCTAAAATTTTAAAAGTATTATATATTTTAGAACTTTTCGGTATATTTTTTATTAAAAATATATTTTTATCCTCCAGAATTTTATAAATTTATATTTATCCCTAACATAAAATCTTATGTTTGTCCCTCTATAACACTAAATTTAAATTAACCAATTAATAAATTAAACATCATTAAGATTAAACTAAAAAAGTATATTTTTAATATTTTATCCAAATACCTTACAAAGGAACACGAAATCAATGAGACATTGCACTGCATGAACTAAAACCCACGTAGGGGGACCAAAAATATGACCCTTTATTGTTGTAGTCAAAATTTTTGGCAGTTGAGTTGATAAATTAAAAATAATATAAGGATTAAAGAGAAAAAATTTACCTGCTTACGAACTGGGCAGCCAACAGCCATGGTGCAACGGTAGTAGGCGCGTGGGCAAGGGTTCCCCTTGGCCATCTTTTGACCATATTTCCTCCATTGACACCCATCGCTTATCTGCACCACATAGAAGAACTAAGCATGCATCATCTTCGGTAAATAGATTATCTCATATTCTTTTTATCTTATCGAAGATTTTAACTGTATTTAAAGAATTCAACCTTAAATTCATATTTATTATCGTCTGATTCTATCAAATAAATGTAACCCTAATAGTTACCATGGGAACCTCCGATATTGCTCTAACCGACACTCTGGCCTTCCTCAAAGCTACTTCCGACACTTGCTCTTCGTTCTTTGACTGATCATCCGCCATCGAACCCCACCTCTGATCAGATTTTTCATCGATGCCATCCTCGACGACAGACAAGCGCTTGCCTTGAACCTGAACCGTCCGACTGTCGCCTTCTGTCGACACCGCTTCCATCCTGTTGTTTGCCGGGGACGACGCCGACAATTCTCGCCTTTTGTAGCCATATGACGGTGGTCGTGGGTCCACTAACTGTTGGACTGGCACTATCGGAGTTGACATGCCATTTACTCCCCCATCCTTCAGCTGTTTGGAAACCAACCCTTTTCATTAATAAGAAAAGAAAAACATCGCCACCCTTTTCGACCAATCTTCATCAACATCTTTCTTAATAATTTATACTAATATATTATTAATGGATCAGACGATAATTTAGGATCTTGAGAACTGAGATTTAGCAATAAGATATTGAGAAAAAGATGATACGGGGGTCAAGGGAGCACGGTTTCCGATTCAGCAGAAGCACGCTAACCAAGTTTCTTTTAGTGTTGAAATATATATATATATATAATAATACTTTCTCTCTCTTTAGCAACATGAACCAGAAACGCCTAGGAAGATGAAGATCGAAGAAGATGTAATTTTCATGGTTTTTTCACCTGTTGGTTATTATTCGCAAGCGCTTGCGTTTGCACCACCATGAATAGTTGACCTAGTAGTTCATTGTAGTTTCTCGTAATCTGATCCACCATGCTTCTCAGTCTGCGATTCTCTTCGTGTAGCCTTTCTAACTCAAATTTAAGAACACTCATCTGAAGAAAAAAAACCCAATTGTCCGTTAACAAGTTTGCACTTACCGACAAAAAGAACAAAAATCTGAACATTATAACTTACTTCAGTGTTTGGTTTCTTTTCAGTACTAGTCCTTGAAACTCCTTGGGTTGAACTCAGAAGATTCAATCCATTCTGAAACAACATATTTAAACTATCGATTACAATAACACAAAAACCGATTAGTTCGATAAGAGAAGAGTTGGGATAGTATTAGTAATTCAAAAACTTACGTTTACATCAAAAGAAGAAGAAGAAAGTGATCGGTTATTAGTAGGAAAGAGATCCATTTCCTTGATGTGTGGCTTAACATGATCGCCAGAACCATCATCATCGAGGGTTCGAATGGACTTGGAGGCGCTCCGGCGGAGAAAGTCATCGGAGTGCAAGAACGGCAGTCCTGAAGGGCTGTGCTTCTTCTCCATGAGGTAAAAGAGATCAGATTATGGAGAAATAATAGAGCTTGTGGGGGTAGTTATGTAGCTTTTTCGAGCTTTCGGACAAGAGACGAAAACGAGTGTGTTAAAAGAGTAAGAACGAAGACCAGCTGCTTTTTTTGGCGGGAGTAAATGACGTAACAATTGATGCGGAGGGTTACGTGGCGAATTCTGGGTGTGGTAGGATGGAGAGAGGAGGAGTGAAACGGTGGGGGAGACGGAATGGCGTTAAAGATAACGGTGGTACGTGAGTCATTCTCCTAAGGTCAACGCAGTTGACGGCACGACTCTATCCGAATCGGACGGTGGTTAGGGATCTTAATAAAAAGAAAGAGAGAGGGTGGGGACCAGCTAGGTGAGACTACCTAATCCCAATGACTTATGAAGCCAACTAGCCAGAGTCAGGCCATGCCCTCACGTCATTCTTTTGGATCGGTTCACGGCTTTCCCCAAGCATTTGGAAAGGTTAGGACGGTTCAAAGTTCGGTTTCAACCGAATTAATTGATCGAATCGAAGGTTTTTTTCGATTAATCGATCTGCTAATATTTGGTTTGATTGGTTGACTATTAATTTTTTTTTTCAAATTTTGATTATTGATTAATTAATCGAATTAACCAAAATCTTAAATATTTAGTATATATATTATTTATATATTACTTAGTTTTAGAAGTGTTTAAACTTCAGTTTTAATCGAATTAACCGATCGAATTAACCAAATTACTTAAAAATATTAAAAATTAAATATATATATTATTATATACTATTTAAAATTTTTGATTAATTCGATTAATCGACCGATTAATCAAACTTTATTCAATTTGATTAAGAATTTTTAAAAAAACTTCAATTCGATTAACGATTAAAAAAGTTAAAAAAGTTAATTTACAATTTTTTGATAGTTCGATTGGACGATTAACTAAAAGATCGCCTCCTCGACTATAAAACCATATATTAGGTCAACCTAATCATATAATATATAAAAGCATATTATATATAATTTGGTAAATTACACATTTAGTACTTAAACTATTAGTTTTAGTCTATTTTAGTTTCTGAACTTTTATTTTTTTTCAAAATCATACATAAACTTTAGTTTTTGTTTCATTTTAGTACACATGTTTAAAATTTAACGTTAAGTTTTTTTTAAAAAAATAAAAGTTTAGGTACTGAAATAGACCAAAATTGATAGTTTATGTACTAAACGCGTTAATTTTTTAACGTTGAGGTACTAAAATAGAATAAAAACTAAACATTATGTATCATTTTGAAAATATTAAAAGTTTAAGTATTAAAACAGATTAAAATTAGTAGTTTAGGTACTAAATGCATAATTTTCCTATATTTTTAATAGTATTACCACCAGCTCTTCCAGTCTAAGATGTTGTTGTCAGCATATAATCAAAATTCAACACCAATTTTTTTTATGTAAAAAAAATCTCAGCTTAATTAGTCAGTGTGGAAAATTTGGGTCAATGGTAGAAAGATTCCCCTTTGACACTGAGAACCACAGCTGGAACTGGTCCATTTCCCTTGGTCTATAATCACAAGTAATAATAATAATATATATATTGTTTCCAGCTTTGCACAAAAGAAGAAGCAAAATCTTATTAACAAATATTGTTTTTCATGTGAAGGACATCTTTCAAGTCAATGATCAAATTGTTTCCTATTTTTTTATAATTACCTCTATTCGATTTATTGATCATCTAATCCGAATCAGGTACTACATAGGTAAAATTGATCATCTCAACCCAGTTTACTCTATTCACAACCGCCATGATTCAAACCCATAACCTTACTTAATAAATCTAGTGTCTCATCCCACTAGACCAACCGGTTGTTAATAATTTGTTTCTTATTTGATCACCTATTTTGGTCTCCGTCGTTAAATAGTTTACCGCGTTAAAAATATCGTTTTAAAAAAATAAAATTTTCACCGAAACGAAATCATTTTGCATCTATATAACAACCATTTTAACATCGTTAATTATTTAACGACCGAGTAACAAAAAACCTCAATGTTTTAAGTTAGTATAAAAAAATAAAAAATATATATAATACGTGAAATAAGAGATAAAGTAAACTTCCGTTATTAATTTGTAATTTACCCCTAGAATTATGTCCTGCCTACCAACTCCATAATTTGTCGTCTGTCAAGCAATTACACGTAGCAGTGGTAGTTTTAATTGATATTCTGTAGCATCAAAAGAATTTCAAGTTTGTTCATATTCCTAAAGCTTCATATTCTTTGCGATGAATGGAACCCCATTTTATTTAATTAAAATTATAGTAAATTATGCGTTTAGTATTTAAATTATTAGTTTTGATGTTTTTATTACTTGAATTTTTATATTTTTCAAGATCTTATTTAAAGTTTAGTTTTTATTTTATTTTAGTATCATCCATTAAAAACTTTATTTTTTGTTTCATTTCAATACCTGGTTTAAAATTTAACGTTAAGTTTTTTAAAAATTTGATTAATGAATAAAATAGATCAAAACTGATAGTTTAGATATTAAATGCGTTAATTTTCTAAGGGCGAGGGTATTAAAATGAAATGAAAACTGACGTTAGGTATGATTTTAAAAAAAATGAAAGTTTAGATATTGAAACGGATCAAAACTAATAGTTTATGTATTAAATACATAGTATAAATATGAAAAGGAAAGGGTAAATTACACATTTAGTGTTTAAAATATCATTTTTGATATGTTTTAGTACCTAAACTTTTATTTTTTTCAAAAATATACCTAACGTTTCGTTTTTTTTTTCATTTTAGCATCCCGTCGGTAAAATTTTAACACATTTAATACTTTAATTGTCAGTTTTGATCCGTTTGAATACCTAAAATTTTAATTCTTTTCAAAACTTAACGTTAAATTTTGAACATGTGTATTAAAATAAAATAAAAACTAAAATTTATGTATGATTTTAAAATTATTAAAAATTTATGTACTAAAATATACTAAAATGAATAGTTTATATACTAAACTCGTAATTTACGCAAAAGAAAAAGAAATGGTGCTTCCCGTGTCACAGGCTAGCTTGGCTTTTATCGGTTGCCATACATTACTCCCATTGACGTCTCCTTATAAAGTAAGTGTCAACAGTTCAAGTATTTCCACCCACGATTACGTTAACACCTACCCGGCCCCGCCCTACACTTATCGACGTTATCGTCTCTTGTGTCGGCATTAAAAATTTAGGTCAACTTACGTTTGCATGATGTTTGTTTACACCGATGATTAAATTAATAAAAATATATTATTCATACGATATTGATATCCTAAAAATATATATCATATGAAATGAACTCTTGACGTGTTAGAAAGAGAGTGGACATGTATTTTTAGCCTTTTGATACTGAACACTTGATCTTCAAGAAATACCAACAATTCATTTATCACAGAGATCACTCGGGGTTCGTGTTTTACCATTTCATTTGGATTAGAAGATAGGAGGCCTTTTAATGCAGTGTAAGCCAGCAGTCATGTACGTATGTGGTCAAGGGAGATTGCATGCAGTGCAATCTTTCCCAAAAGCATAGTGTTGGGTAAGCGAAAACGAAACTGAATTTAATAGATGCAATCAATCCAGGCGGATGGGTTGTTTTGGGTCTTTACTCTTTAGAAACATTGTTGAAAGTCTGGTCTTTTTTATGGGAACCGGAGGACTGGTTTGCTCTGGTCTACAAAAATAGGCTATTCAACTCTCACGTTACTCCTTTCAGACATTTATTCAAACAACTTGTGTGTTCTTTTGACTGGAATACGGACAGGCTCTTTCTCCCCTGTTTTTTTGGGGTCCAGTGTAATAATTACTTTATTTGTCTGTCTGTTTTGTCCTAAAAGTCTAACCCCATAGTGGAGTGTTTCTAGATTATTGATATTCGACCATGAAGATTTTGACTTCCTGGCCATGTTCGGGTGCCTGGTGGGGTAAGCGATTTCAGCTCAGATATGGGAACTTCGAATATCGTACATTACAGAGAGAGTGTCTGCAGCTACTCTTAAAATTCTTGGGTAAATTACATGTTTAGTATTTAAATTATCAATTTTAATATGTTTTAGTACCTAAACTCTCAGTTTTTTCAAAATCACACCTAAAGTTAAGTTTTTGTTTCATTTTAATACCTTGTTCAAAATTTAACGTTAAGTTTTGATTTTTTTAAAAGTTTAGGTACTAAAACGGGCAAAAATTGATAGCTTATATACTAAGAACATTAAATTTTTAATGGTGGGATACTCAAATGAAACAAAAATAGGTATGGTTTTAAAAAAAATTGAAAGTTTAAAAACTAAAACAGACTAAAATTAATAGTTTATATATTATATGCGTAATTTACCCAATTCTTTAATTTGAATGATACTGTTATACCTTCCCTATTTTTTTTAATCATTTCTCCACATACTGAATTCTTCAAAAAAAATCAAAATTTTGGAAGATTTGTTCTATTCATCCTCGTAATCTTTAAATATCTATTATCATTGACCATAAATATATTTTTTTTGCAGTTCGGCATAGTATATTTATTTGTTCTTTCAATTTATAAGTAACATCATAATTTTATATGTGACACTAATGTTGAGAGTCTTTATATAAATTTCTAATGCAAAATAATATAACCTCACATCACGGTTTGTGACTCTCCATTCAAATAATAAAATTTCATGTAATATAAAATTTTTATATAAATCCGACCATTAATAAATTCTCTTGCAGTTCCATGTAATATATTAAAGTTAAATCTACTGTCAGGTAATTATATTTGTTCGTTCTTTCAATTTATAAGTAACATCATAATTTTATGTGTGACACTAACACTAAGAGTCTTTATATAAAAATTTTCATACAAAACAACAAAACCTCAAAGGCTCAAATTACCGTTTGCGACTCTTCATTCAAATCAACAGGATGAATTATTTGTAACCGATATGTTCTCAGATGTTATCATCGACATATATTATTTGGACTTAGTTTTCTCCCAATAGGAATCCCTTCCATGTAAACTTTAACAAATAAAGTAGCACTGTTGCACTCATCTTCTTCACCAAGCACCTGTCTTAACATCGGCTGCTGCTCCCTGGTCCACACAAGTCCATTTTCACCATTAAACCCAAACTAAATACTATTTCGAGGTTCTAAAAAAAGATAACAAATTTAACCTCGCGTAAGGTGGAGAGGCTGAAATGCTGAGACCGAGTCTGAGATCAGTGCCGAAATCCATGGAAGAAGAAGCTGCGCCGGAGCCGAAGTAGTGGTTGCTGCTGCTCTCGAAGGAGGAGGACGGTGAAGAACCGGCGGCCCTACCCATCGGTGAAGAAGGTTGAAGACAAATGAGCCGCCACCTTGGGGTTTAAATAACCACAGAGTGTACCAAATTATGTTGTCGAGGCAACCGACATGTACACGTGTCGTCTACCAAACCCAACTTGTAATAATCATGGTTTTAACATCATTTTTTTGGGAATTCGATTCCATAAGGCTTTGATGAACACAGTTCTATGTTTTGTTCTCTTGTGCCGAGGATTTCTCTGGTAAATTCTTCAGTTATTTACAGCTTATATACAACCGTTCAGTATGATAAATAAACCTTAGGGTTAGTTATATGATCGATCATTTATGTTTTTGTCTATTTTTTTCACTGATTTTCAAAAAAATAAAACTTTTCCTTACTAATTTTAAATATATATATATATATATATATATTATCACTTTTATTTTTTATTTAAGTAAGATATGTTCATTGAAAAATATATGTAGTTAGATTATTAACAGATGATCATTAATTAAAAATGATAAACTACATAAATGATCACTAATATTTGAGTAAATTTTTGTTTTTCACTGAAATTTCAAAATTAACAAATTGGTCACTAAATCATCAAATAATTCTTTATGATTATTCTATTATCTCTCTTCGGCATCTATTGACCCAGAAAAGTGGGCTATATAAATTTTATTAAAGTACTTCATACCGATGAAGACGAGAATCCAAAGATGGCAAAGTTCGGAATTTTTTCAATCCAAAAGTGTATTTTCTTTCTTTATTTTTCGTGACTTTTATTTTTTTGGACATTCTTCGACTCTTTAATGGGCAGCTTGGAGTAAGGAAATGAATAAACCGCTTAGAGGGACATATATCACAAAATGGTATCAACCAATTTATTATTTTAAAAAAATTCAATAAAAAATCAAAATTTATTCAATGCAAAAATCTAATGGCAGTCGATCCTCTACGACTACATCTTAGTTAAGTAAAAACAAAATTAATCTTTTATTATGTTTTTCGAAATCAATGCAAAAATGAACAAAAAAATTAAAAGAAATTGATTAATCACGAAGTTAACCTAAACCAAAGAGAGAACCCGGAAAACTCGCAAGAAAAAGAAAAAGGTTGACTTGGAATTGGAAGGAAATCTTCGCCCACGTGTGGAAGGTTGTTCTTTGTCTCACCTTAAAATATAAAGCAAAAAAAAAAAACATAATTATTGATTGTTCTTAAACGACTGTTATATCCCTGTCATCATATTAACGTCAATGTTAGACGACCACCAATTTTTAACTAAAATGGACGAAATTAGAACATAATAAATCATTTTGTAACTTTAATTTTAAGAAAAATAGACTTTTCTTATATATTTTATACTCACAGTATCACATGAAATCATCAAATAATTGACCAAAGAAATGAGAGGATATATTATTTTTCAATAGATTAATTAAGGTTATTATCAATCGGACCTATTATACTAATTTATTCAGTCATGGAATGTGATCAAATACGTTAGATTAATTTATTTATTGAATGTTAATTCGGATAATAATAATAATAACATCAAAATATGAAAATATATTATATTTTCGTATTATTTTAATGATTAAATGACATTGAAATCAATTCCTTTGTTGAGAGTTCAAACATAATTCCCGCCCCGCCCCCCAATTATTCAAAAGAAAACGAAATGCCATACTTTTACCCATTTTGGCTAATCAAAGAAACAAAGATTTACCGAGAGGTGGTTCAAGTAGTAAGGAGTTTGATATCGTTTAAGTAAGGTTTAGAGTTCGAGTTTTTGTGTATGTAAAAAATTATTGCTAGGAGACTCACCCATCATAACCAGATATGTGTAGGGATAGGCATGGGACTCGAACTCGACGGGTTCCGACCCGATTGGATCGAATATTTTTTTTAAAAAAAATCAGATTCGGATCAGATTGAGTTTAGGTTGAAAAATATTGGATTCGAAAAAATTATAATTTTACCTTATATATTTAAGAATAATTATAATAATACCTCTATATATTATTTTCTTTCAATTAAATTTTTATTTGTATTGAATAAAAAAATATTTTTTTAGTAAATATATTATTTCGGGTCGAGTCGGGTCAAGTTCGAATTTTATCTCAAAAAACTAGGTCGGGTTCTAATCGGATGAAAGGGATATATTTTTTGGGCTAGGGGGAGGATTTAAAATTTTAGGATCAAGTCAAAGCAGATACATCGAAAATTCGATCCAACTCATATTCATCCTTAAATATACAATGCGAAACAATCTGGATTAATCAAAGTAAAATCTTAAAATCGGGAATAAAAAGAAACGAATATTTCCATAGAATACATACTTTAAATTTCGAGAAGCCTCAAATTTCTCGTCACTCTCTTCAATGGAAAATCTCAACCATAATGTCTACTCCTATGTGTGTGTTTGTCCCCTCTTTTTTTAATATTTTTTTAACGGTTGTTTACTTGTTTTTGTCAGTCAAATTAACATAGGAATAGGTTTGCTTTTCTTCTCCCTGTGCAATTTATTTATTTTATTAAAGAATAGTTTTATGCGAATTATCTTAAATACGGGCCATGGGGCGAGATTGGAGGCATGATCCAGGAGGGTCAATGACATTGACAGCTCAATTTAAGATTGAGTAACAGATGCAATTGAAAATACTAATTATTTTAATATTTTTATATAAAAAAAGATAAATTATATATTTAATATTTAAATCATTAATTTTGTATTCAAATTCGGGACCTTAAGGAATAATAACGATTCCTTTACCACTAAGGTCACTCAATTTGTGCAACTAAATGCATTAAGTTTTTAACAACCAAGTATTCAAAGTTTTGAGTTACATTTTAAAAAAATTGCAAGTTTAGATATTAAAACATACAAAAGATGATAGTTTAAGTATTAAAAGCGATATTTTTTTATTAACCTGGTGTAAGTACAAATAATATATGTTCAAAGATAACTCTCAACCATTTAATATTGAACGCTCACACCTCTGATATTTTTTGTATTCAAATTCGGGACCTTAAGGAATAATAACGATTCCTTTACCACTAAGGTCACTCAATTTGTGCAGCTAAATGCATTAAGTTTTTAACAACCAAGTATTAAAACGAACCGAAAACTAAACATTAAATACGATTTTAAAAAAAATAAAATTTAAGTATTAAAACAGACTAAAACTGATAGTGTAATTAATTAATATGTAATTTACTGAAAATTTAACATTTTAGGTTATGATGATTTCTATCATTCCTTACTCTTAAATTATGTTGCGGTACGAACTACTCTCTTTTACGCTTAAACAAGTGATTTTGGTAGAGGGCATGATGAAGGATTAAGCAATGATCGGCCTACAGCCCTACACAGTATTAGGGTTAAATTATGCTTCCCTACTGCCCAAAAGTGGTTCATGTCTTTCGTATATAGCCTTTTTCTTTTTGCAGCTGCTACAACAATGTCTTTTTACACATTTTTAAGTAGATTCCATGCCAACATCTAATCCAAATTAACCCCAAATTTATGCTCACCGGTGTTGTTTTCCAGCATTACTTTAAACATATTCTTCAGCCTTTAGCATCCTACTAAAGCAGAAACTTTGGACTAGGAAGACAATGGAACGTGGTTGGCGGATAGTGTCTAACCTACCATCGTCTTTTTCTATGTAGATGTTAAAAATTGAATATCGGTACCGGTATGACGTTCACGTTTAAGCAGCTTCGAGCATAGGGTCGTTCGACTCCTTGCTCTTAGCTGGTATCCGGGAATTCTGTATTGCTGATCCCTTGGCTGGAGCGTCAGCTAGTTTTAGATTCGATAAAGCATCAGCCAGAGATTGATCGGATCCAGGCGTTTCACTAACCCCAGATTCGGTATTTAGATCTTTGAGGTTTTCATTTCTGATTTCTAGCTCCAATTTCCTGAATTCCTCTTCAATATCTTCGTCCTCCATGTCTAGGTACGGAGCAGACTCTTCAACGGTCGAACAAGAACATGTTAGATAAAGACTAACAACATTATCAAGATAGTATGCAACAGCTTAATGAAAACTAATTGGCATTTCACAATAACTACAAAAAATATAAATTGGATTGTTGGTTACTATACCTAGAGCCATTTCAACTTGCTTTTGTGAATCAATGCTCTCATCAAGTTCTTCTAAACAAAGCTGAACTTCTTCCACACTTATCTTATTCTCCTTTATTGCTCGTGCTCCGATCTGGATTGCTTCAGCTACCTGCCATCAAGGAGTAATACATCAGCTTATTCACTATCTTCTACTGTCGGGAACTTTGCAAGCCACCTTCCTCGATAGCTAAAACCCAAGTTCACCTTTTTGCAGAGGCTTTGAACCGCACAAGAGAATTAGAAGCTCAACTATGTTTTGTTTCTATCAGAAAAGCAAAGTTTAAGTTGTAGTTGGTCACCTTCTTTGTTGATTCCGCGTTCGCAATAACACTCAACACTTCTTCCACTCTGTTAAGAAGTGAGTTACATTTTTCTCTATTCTCAGTGCCCAACTTCATCTCCCTCGCATGCCTAAGGGCCAGTTTCTTGTTCCTAGACTTCAATGAAGCTAAGGCTGACTGTCTAGACCTGCAACGAACAAACTCAACCATGAGACCGAAAACCTAGAATTCAACTGCCTGGAAAAAGAAAAAAGCATATAAGACACAACCGGTGTTAAAATAAATACTGTGTTCAGCCAAATGATTGTCTGGGACTGGACATTTCTTAGTTCAAAAGAAAGTTAACTGAACATCCGAACCAGTTGGCATAGTGCAACTGACTAGTGTCCTAAATGGTTTAATCAACTCCTTATCACTGTGTTTACCCTACCATTAAACATCCTCATATGCATTAAATCAAGTTCACATTTTCACAGGCATGGACTCGACTCTCAAGCAAGAAAATTCAGCCGACGATATAAGAGAAAAAAAGGAGAGTAAAAAAACAGAGGTTACATTTCCCAGCACCGGTCAATCACATCAAGTTGTTGCTCAAGTTTTTCTCGAGTCCAAAT